TTTGAAAACAGGCTACCCCATTCGTTACTCCGAAAGGTATTCGACGGAACTGATAGAGGTTGTTGCAAGCCTCAAAAGCCGTGTAGATTCTGTCGCTTTCTTTAATGGGTATCTGATAATACGCACTTTCAAGATCAAGCGTGCTGAAAATACGATATTGAGCTATTTTAGTACTCAAATCTTCAAGTCTGGGGAGCGGATAAGCGTCTAGTTGCGTAAATCGGTTTATAGTTTGACTATAGTCAACCACCATTCGCTTCTTCTGTCGTTCATTTGTCGTGACGAGCACTTGCGCTCTCCATGGGGACTTCGAGGGTTCAATGATGTGTTGGTCAAGTAAACGCTTTACTTCAGAAGCAATGAAGGCCTCGTCGTCTGCAGAATGTCGCCTGGACTTTATGGCGATTGGCTTACACCTTGGGTCAATATGCTCGAACAAAGTGGGAGGTTCAATTTTGGCAGCAATTAGGCCACAAAGGGAAAAAGAAGGTTTGTCACCGTTGAATGAGATTTCCAGGGACTTATGAAGCTTAAGAAAGTCATGTCCTAGCAAAATATCTGCACAGAGGTCACGTAATACTGAAAACTTGAAAGAGGGATACTTGTTTTGTTTGTGTTGCAACGTTAAAAAGCAATGTCCAAGAGTAAAGCTTTTGTGCTGGATAGATGCCAAAGTTATCTCAGATGACGATGGTAGTACAGACCACTTGTTACGACGGACTACCTTTTCGGAAATGAAACTTTCTGAGCTACCAGTATCAACAAGAGCTCGAAGCGGGACACCATTGGCTTTCACATCGGTGACTGCTTCTTTTAGACACTCAGGAGCCGCTGCAGTGACGCAAGATAGCGCACTTGAAACAGATGAGGTGTTCCGCGGACCAGTAGATCTGCATACCTTTTGAAAATGCCCTTTCTTCCCACAGTTTTTGCAGGTCGCATCTTTAGCGGGGCATTTATATCTCGGGTGACGAGCATAGCCACAGAAGAAACATGAAGACCCCACACTGGCAGCAGTCGCCTGCTCGTGCGATGACGTTTGAGAACGTGGGGACTTTGGCGGGTCGTTCGATACGGTGGCACAGGGAAGTTGAGTGTTCGGCAAAAACGACAACGACTGTTTTTGCGCTAGTTCGAGGGACTTTGCATGGTCGTACGCGGTTTTAAAATCCAGCGACTTATGTTCCAGCAGTCTCTGGCGTATAGTATTGGAATAAAGTCCGCTAATAAACGCATCTCGCAACGCTTCATCGGTATGCTGTTCTGCACTGACGGCTGTAAAGCGGCAGTCTGGCAATAAACTGCGAAGCTTCTGCACAAACTGATCAAGGTTCTGAGCTCCGTCCTGTTTACAAGTGTTCAAAAGATGCCGTGCAAAAACTTCATTTTTCGGCTGTACGTAAATTTCTCGCAAGGTTTCGATGGCTGATTCATAGTCTTTGCAGTCTTTGATGAATCGGTAAACACTAGGGGAGACGTAATTGAACAAGGTTTTCAGTTTATCTGGTGAATGAGAACCGATTGACTCTAGGAAGTTTGTGAAAGTACAAAACCAATGCTCCCAGGTATCTGCCGAGTCTTGAGTATTGGGGTCGGTATCGAATCGTTCAGGACGTAAGAATCGATCCATTGTTCGAAGAAAACTTTTTTGGATGAATAAATTGTTGTGTACGACGAGGGTCGGAGTGCAACGACAATCAGAATGACAATGGAAAAGACTGAGGGCCCGAAAGCTAGGCTTTATTCATCCAAAACTTTGACACTGAGAGCTGAAAACGGGAGAAAGTGATTTAGCAATAAATGATGAAACGTTTGAAAAACAGCAAATATACAACAGGCCTTTGATGGTTCCACTGATAATTTCCCGAGGATGAATCGGGTGGAACGACCCGTGGACATTTAGAGCGTTTTTCATCTCCATTCCTTCAACTTTCTGGATTCATCGTGCTTCCCGGTCTGCGCGGACACTCAGTCTTACATGGCGTCAACTTATGCGTTGGGTTGGCTTGTGGTTGACACCTGAAGGAGTCTTGCCGAGTCTCCACCAATACCAACCTCCACTTTGAGATATGGGGAGGGGGGCGAGATGGCCCAAGTGGTTAGAGCGCGAATTCGCCGACCGGAAGGTCCGTGGTTCGAACCCAACCTCTGCCTCTCGATTTCCTCTGTCTAGGCTTGAACAATCTGGCAGTATTCCAGCCCTCGTGCTTCCTCCGGGTGGCGTGGCAGCTAGGCGCCGTAAGGATGCTACCGCTGAACGCTTTTTGAAGTAGAACGCTTAGAAGGGGCTAAATGATTTGTACCGCGGGTATCCGGTTTTCCCAACCAAGCTTATAAATTGCATCGCAGTTAAAGTTAGACTCCCCGTCGTTGGATTTTGTCGTTATTTACCTTTCTTTGCTGTGGTGAATCCGCGTTACTGGTCCGACAGCCTTAACGCAATGTATTTGGAGCGTACATAGGATACCGTCAGGATGGCATACTTAGGCGACTCCGATCTTCGAAATGGATATGAGGACATCGTACTGAGATCACTTTGTCATCATTCTACTGAGAACCTGGCTCATAAGAATGAAGCCGGCTGCCGTCGTTGCCCAGGATGTATCGGTCACACATAGATGGTTGAACGGCGTCATAACCAGCGATGACCGTATGTCCTCTTTGGAAGCCGTTTTTAAGCTTATCGAATCACCAGTAACTTACTGGAGTATGAACGCGAAAGTCATTTCTAAATTACTATTTGTTATGAAGATAGGCTTGTCTTGATGAACGTGATAAAGTCACATGAGTTGACCACATCTGGTGTTTTCAGGTAAACCTGTCTTTCAGCTTCGCTACACATATGCCTCTTGAATCTCCCTCAACTTCCTCCAGCATATCGAGGATATAAATGCTCCAAGTGTTCACTTACTGACGCTGAGCATGATCATGATATTGCTGTCCCTGAATCAGACTTTGTAACTACAAGCTATTTTATGCAACCCGGTTCTGATAAATCGTTGCTATGTTGCTGTGGCTGTTGTTGATAATAGTAATGGTAGTGCTGACATTGACGATGACTATTACGATGCACTTCAATCCGGAAGAGCATAAAACCTGCGTGGTGAGTGAGAATAGACCCTAACTTCATGCCAGCCAGTGGATCAGTCGATTTGGTGATATATTCACTAATCTTGGTCCTGTATGCAATTTCCGGCTGTCAAGAAAAGACTGGATCTTAGCGTGGTTTGACGGCTTGTGTACCTCCACAAGCATTTGAGCTATACTGTGGAGTTTAGATATGACACGCACAGAGCTACTCAACCCGGTCGATCAATGAGTGGAGGTCTGACAAACAATCTCGTGGTCCTCCAAGTTTGGGAGTTGGAACGTTTTTTGCCCCTTAAAATGTAGACTGCTCTAGCAATTTTATGCCAACCATCACTTAGGCTTTTAGTCAAAGGCTCTGGTCTAGGACTTCAGTCGTTCATACATCTAGGCCTTGGTGCCCTGGCGATATCCCAGGCCACGTACAATCCGACGGATTGGTGAAAGACATAATTAACTCCGCAATTGAATACACCAGAGATATTGTCACCCTCCGAGGTGTTGCAAGGTCACCAAAAAAGTCGTTCAGCTGTAACACCTTCCGGTGCCTAGCTGCCATGCCACCCGGAGGAAGCACGAGGGCTGGGATACTGCCAGGTCGCCCAAGTCTAGACAGGGGAAGTCGAGTAGCAGAGGTCGGGTTCGAACCACGGACCTTCCCGTCAGTAAATTCGCGCTCTAACCACTTGAGCCATCTCGCACCCAAGCATAAACGGGAGCAGTTGAGATGCTGATTAACCCCAAAAGGGAGCGTAATGATGGAACATCCTTAGGAGGTGGCATCTACTGTATAGCTCGGACGTTCTCCGGGCCAGGATGACGACCAGAGGCGTCCAAGACAAAACCAGGATACTCCACTGTTGTCAAGAAGAATTGACACTCCTCGGGCCGGAGGCGGAGGCCATTGTCCTGAATGCATAGCAAGGCAGCATTGATCCGATCAAGAAGCTTTTTGGTGGAACGGCAACGATCAGCACGTCGTTCAGGTTTGCGACCACACTTGGAATGCCAGAAAGGATGGCGTCCATCAACTACTGTAAACCTGCTGGGACAGTCTTGACGCTACTACGATGTTGACAAAACTTGTGGTAACACTGACCGATATGGACGCTCTTGTATGTATTTTCTATGCAGGGGATGAAATAAGAACGGCCTGATTCGTGTGGCCATTTCCAAAGTCTGAATTGGATCGCTGGACATCAAGAATGCTGTCTTGCGTTGTTCCCTAATAACATACTACAGAGGTAGTAGAATTTGTTCACGTGGAACAATTCTGAGTACTGGAATTTACTGCCGATTATTGATATGCTGTTTTACCACAAATATGAAACCTATCTCAAGTTTTAGTGGTCTTTGCCTGGAGCTAGTCTTGGTAGTGTAGCTCTCATTTGGCCCAGTTGAAAAGTTTTCGAGGAACCGGAAAATAAGCCATGTTGGAGTGGTCCTAATAACAAATATTCTATTGTGGAATTGACCATGAAGTTTTGAGAGGTATCTCGCTGCGCTGCTTCTCCTTTAACTCACTTTCAATTTCCAAAGCAGGTGGTGGATCAAATCCGCCTGAGAAAGCAGAAATTGGGCGCCGAAACTAAAGTCACCGATTGACAATCATCTTCAAGTCAACGGTTCCTTTTTGGTAGCGAGTTCGCACATTCGATTCATACATCTTACGGACATCATTAATGACAGTCGAGTCATACGTAATTCAAAACGTACAAGTAATTGTCTTCTGTTTTTTTCCACATCCTATAAGAGGTAACCTCCTGTCAACTCATCGATTGATTTGTTGTCATTGAGACCGCTGTAGTGAAAACAATTTCAAATCCTCCTTCTCTATATCTGTTTTACTCGTTCGTATCTGTGCGCGTTCATTGTAGATCTCCATTGGGCGGTGACGTTCACTGAATCCATTTATGGATACCAGCGTCAAAGTTGGCGTTCGTGTTCGTCCCTTGTCTGAAGCCGAAGTCAACGATGGGTGTGTATCTTGCCTGGCCTACCCGGCAGAACCAGGTCACATCATGATTGGAAGAGATAAACTGTTTTCTTTTGATTATGTCTTCGACGAGGCAGCTTCTCAGTGCGATATTTACACGAGGGCAGCAGAACCTATGGTGGATACTGTGCTCAAGGGCTACAATGCCACTCTACTGGCTTATGGCCAAACCGGGAGTGGAAAAACCTATTCGATGGGGACCTGCGCACTACTGAGTCCTACAGACCCTGAAAACGGGATTGTTCCGCGAATGGTTCAAGACATTTTTCGTAGGATCCCCTCACTGCCGTTCGACTATACTATCCGGGTATCATTTTTGGAGGTACAGTCGTGTATCACTTAGTTTACGCACTCATAGATATATAAAGAGGATATTCATGATTTACTTTCAGAAGACGTCAACATACCCTTGCCAATTCGCGAAGAAAACCAAATAATCAAAGTAAGACCTAAATTTAGTTGGTATGCTTCTTGGTCTTAGATTCCGGGTTTGACCGAGAGTGTTGTCAATTCGTGCGAAGATGTTCTCGCCTTATTACAATCAGGATCGACAAAACGAAGTGTTGGTGGGACCGCTATGAATCGGCATTCCAGTCGAAGTCACGCTGTATTTACCCTGCACTTTGTAATTCGCCCCAGAGAGGAGGCACTTAATGCCGTTGGGTCTGATGATATACCAACCACAGTGTCGAAGACACCCACAACACAACCTGACCAATCAGCCGAAGGTGAAACATTGACAGCAAAGCTTCATTTAGTCGATCTTGCTGGCTCCGAACGTCAAAAGAAAACGCACGCAGAGGGCGATCGACTGAAAGAAGGTAAGCTTGTCCTCGAGTTGACATTGTTTTACATTCCAAGTCCTCTGCGTCGCTTCATTGGCCCGTGAACCACACAGGTGGTTCTTCAATTATCCAGATCTTTTGAAGAATATGTTACGGTGCAATAATGGGAAATTAGCGTGAATTGCTTGCTTAACGGATGTACAGTCGGTGGACCCAAGCAACGGACACACCTCTATCGTTCAGCTGTAGCACCCTTTCGGTGTCTAGCTGCTATGTCACACGAAGGAGGCACGAGGGCTGGGATACTGCCAGCTTGCCCAAGCCTAGACAGGCAGAGGTCGGGTTCAAACCACGGACCTTCCGGTCAATGAATTCGCGCTCTAACCACTTGGTCCATCTCGACCCACCTCTACTCATAGGTAAACCGTAATGGATCCAAAATTTCTTTTCGGACGTCATTAAGAATGGCTTGGAAACGATGTTTTCAGGAAGAGCTGCAGTAACAAAACGCACGTAGAGAATCAGTATTTACGACTCAGAGTGACTGTACTGGAACGATAATCTGAAGCGAAACCCTCTGCGGATGTTCTCGAGAGCGAGAGAGAGAGAGAGCGAGCGGGAGAGATTGATATGAGTTATTGTCCTGTTCAGGCTCAGGCAATTAGATAGTATGTCAGCACCCATGCTTCCTTTAGGTGGCATGGCAGATGGGCACCTAAGGGATGTTACAGCTGAATAATTATGAGTTGTTGCCAGTTTTCAAGACAAGTGATCTTTATACATTTGGCCATACTCATAGAAGATAAATTAGGGATTGCGAGTCTGGCGTTTTAATTCATCCTGACAACCTTGATAGCTCATATCCACGGTTGTTCCACTAAGCTTCAACATGTTTTAGCCAGAAATTTCAGAATTGAGCCTCGTTCTGAGTGCGGTCGGATGCATACGTTCACCAGTTGGGGAAGCGGATCCATCAAATGTTCCAAACGCTCTGAGAAGGGTTCAATTCGCCATCAGTCGTAGCAGCAGTCGCCTACTGTGATGTCATAAGCCACAGTGAATTCCATGACCTTCGATATAAGACTATGGCAGCGAAGCATCGGTGCTGAACATGTATGTCATGCTGTCGATCATGATGACGACGGAAGACTCATCAGCTTATAGTTTTCTAAATTTAAACTTTTCCCTCCCTTGAATGTTTGTGTGGGGCGAGATGGACCAAGTGGTCAGAGCGCGAATTCGCTGACCCGAAGGTCCTCTGCCTCTCGACTTCCCCTGTCTAGGCTTGGGCGACCTGGCAGTATCCCAGGCCTCGTGCCTCCTTCGTGTGGCATGGCAGATAGGCACAGAAAGGGTACTACAACTGAACGATTTTTTTGTGTGACGCGGTCCGGTGATACCGATAGTTCGTTTGGAAATTTCGCCAACATCGAACGCAGATTGCTTACGCCGGGGACCTCTTGGTTTTCAGCTTCATTCTAACATTCGGCCGCAAGAAGAGTGCCCAGGTAATCTTATGCACTCTGTTCGGACTGTATGCTAGTTCCGGCCCGGCGAATCGTCGTGGCTTGACCATTTATGAGGGCGCTGGGACATCCTGATGGAGTGCGCACAGAACTCTATGTTTTGCCTTTGAACGTTAACATATTTGTACAATAGTTAGAGGGTTTTCCTCAGATTTGATCGGTTCTGATGAGGTTGTTACTCTAATTTTGGAATGTCTCGACATCTTCCTAGGACGATTGACTCGGAATGGTTCTACAGTAGTACCAGGTATGATTCCTGTGACATAATAATCTAGAATGGACTTGTCAATAGCCCTAATGTGAAATCATCGTTCACCGTATGCACTGATCGTACTTGTCAGTTTCTTTGGGGCCAGCCCTTTCACTTATTGACGTTACTATCACTCTTGGTATTTGTTGTCATTGTCATCCCGTCTCTAACTCTATCACAGGTCTCTTCCTGGTGGTCCAAGCGAAGGCCTGTTCTAATATTTGGCCTCCTCTTAATTTCAGGTATTAACATCAATCGTGGCCTTCTAGCATTGGGCAATGTGATCAGCGCTCTGTGTGAGAAAGATGCGAAGAAGCGATCGCACATTCCCTATCGTGATTCTCGACTAACTCGACTGCTTCAAGATTCACTTGGAGGCAACAGTATGACTTTTATGCTGGCCTGCGTTAGCCCGGCTGACAGTAATATGGAAGAGACTTTGAGCACGTTACGGTGAGCCAAAACAGGTTTTCTCTTCGGTCAGGCATCACAGAATCGTACCGCAACCCTTTTTGATGGATGAATGCCCTCTAGTTGAAAACGAATTCGCCCGCTCCGAATGATGGCCGGTGTTGGGAGAGACCACTGTTTAGAAGTGCGATTCTCGTGTAATGCCTCTAATTCACCCCTCCGAAGGACCTTATTGTTAAGACGATTGACTAACACACACTTGCTCTGTTGACTCCTACGACTGGCTAAGTTGCCTGTAATATTTTCTGACAATGATTGGCTTCATCATCAGCGTTGAGAAAGTCGGACGGAATTTTTCTCTCATTCGGAGTAAAGTAACCATTAACGGACTAATGGCAGTCTTCTGGGACATTATGAATGGTTATGTTTTATGATAGCAAGCCTCACACCATTACGGACTACGGAATTAAGAAGGTTGTTATCGAAGAAGTACTCATTTTCTTGTACTGACAAACATGACTAAACTGTGGACAAACAGAGTCTACCTTGCTACATCCTATTTGCTAGCTTCATTGTTCTCCATCTGACTTACGCTTGCGTTTCCCGTCGCAGAAGTACTGTCATGCTTGTAACGCTGGATGCAAGCAAGACTGTTTGGTGGATCAATGTACCGGCTGCGTTATGGAGCACTACTGCTCTGAAGTAACCGTTCCCGAGAATTGAAACTTGTAACGCTGGATGCAAGCAAGACTGTTTTGTGGGTTAATGCATGTTATGGAGCACTACGGTCAGCGTAGGTCAAAGTTTGATCCACTTCTGCTCTGAAGTAACTGTTCCCGAGAATTGAAATCGGGTCGTGCATGGTCCTAGGAGATTCACATCCTCGAACGAAGGTCACAGTCGAACTAGTTCCTACCACAAACCTGGTTGGCTCACATAGATGTATTCCGTTTTGGCAAGTTTTGGAACTGTTCATTGAGCGCACTTCATCAATCAGTGTATCAAATCAAAGGGCAACGGGTGAAGCTAAGAACATGAAACGGGAGCAAGTTTAGTGACCTTTTTTTGTCGGGTGGTCAAGCATTCGGACTGTCTGGGTTTGATTTGAGATCAATTACTGGATCCCTTTTTATTCTCAGTAACAATGCTCTCAGCATTGGTTGGTTATCCCAACTTCTCTCGATGCTCTTTTCCTCCCGCTATGGCATCATACTCCGTCATGTTTCTGTCACAGATATGCCGATCGGGCACGCCTTATAAAGAACAAACCTATTTTGAATCGCGCCGATCCCAAAGATGCCGAATTGGCTCGCCTGCGCTCGATGATCGCACAATTGCAAAATCGACTGGCCAAGGGCTCCGCGGGACTCACATTAATGAGTCCCTGTGCGCCCAAGTTACAATCATCCGCGAGCACTTTTTCAACCACCATCATTTCGAGCCTCAATGACAGGCTGGCCAAGTCCGAGGTAGGTGCGGTAGTGTTTTGCACCAGGTAGTCTCGACACACGAGTTACTCCCACGCACGCATACCTATGGACTTATATGCGGTTTCAGGGGCATTGTTGGACCAGCATCTATTCACGGACTAAGTAAGGAACGTCACTGGAATTCTCCTAATGTTTCTATGAGCCTGTCGACCCACTCTATTCCTCTGGGATCAGGTTTTCAATGGTAGGCGCGGCACAGCAGCACGCCAGTGAGTGTCTTACAGATGACGTTCGACTCAAAATGTCTAGTTTTCGTTGTGAATCTCGAACCTCCTGTTTTGAATCAACAATGGAGGATATATGAGCTCATTCCACTAGACAGGACAATCCTAAGGTTCTCTGCAAAAACCGAAGGATATACCACTGACACATACCACCCTGGTCAGTGGAAGGATATCGCCAAACTAGACGAAGAGAGGAGAAAATGAGGAGAGAAAACGAGCGGGAAAAGCAGATGACACAGCGAAAAGAAGGATGGAAGGGGGTAGAACAGGTTATAACGTGGTCTGATTGATGGAAAGGGGATCATTGGTCTGGACAATAATACCGTTGCGATCAGGAGTTTGGGTTGGCAGGCAGATAGCTGGGGTAAGGGCCACACGATCCGCAGGATCTATGTGAGTGAAAAACAGGAGCCGTTCATGGACTTTGAAGTTTCCGAGAACGCAAACTTCCGTAGGAAAATCTGAAGGAGGGATCCGTCCTTAGTTAGTGTCCACCAAAGAGTAGAGAAGACACATCCCCATTCGGAGATCTATAAACACTAATTAGGAGAAACTGAATTGAAACGAAATTTTGGGCCCATCTGATAGGCGTAGTTTTTCGGTCTTATGTCCCAAATAGATGCTAGTTTGTGATGTTATGCGCTCATTTACCAATCACTACTACTTTCGTGTTCAGTAGTGTCATGTCTGCTTGGAACCGAAACATGGGACAGTCTTTGTGATGCACGTGCAGCTGAAGATTATCACACACGCGATATTCGTTCGACATTTGACCGACGTTTACACTGAGTTGATTCACAAATAGGTTTATAGTCCTAATAGCGTGCAAATTAATGTTCAATTAGGAAATAAGATTGATGGGAACTCGAGGACTATGTGTACTTGATGGGCCCCAAGAAGCGTGAAGCCGGTAGTGGATTGTCAAGGAGTTCCTATAAACCATATAAGTAGTGTTTTGTTCTATGCATGCCTAAAGTGAGCTCGGCTAATTAAGTTCGGGTGCACTGGGGCGCTTCCTCGATCTATGGTAGGTCAGCGATGGCTATCTGCGCTCTACCCCTTAAACAATACCGATTCACCGTCTTCTCAGGTCAAATAATCGGTCTCCTCAATTGGGGTTTATCTCTTCATCTTCCGAGACGTCGATGACGTTCATGATCTTCCTATGTGTATCTAAAGTTGTAGATATCACTATGAGGACGCATGCTGTTGACCACGAAACTAGGTATAATCAACCGGTCATCCGAAGATTGTCCTTATCAGTTGAACTTGACCGTCGTTCTGTTTCAGGATGAAAAACAAATTTTGGCTGACCAACTGGATAAAACCCTTGAAGAGAGCGCTGAATTGTACAAGAAGCTGTTTGATGCTGAAGCCATTCACGATGCAGTGTTCACAGAACTGGATAGGCTTAACCTAGCCATCAGGTATGTGAAACTCTGAGTTGTGATCAAAGTCGTTCAGTTCCATAGATCCGAAGTTGGCCGAAGCGATGGCTTCTGACTCTTTGATTGCTGAATTCGTGCGCAGCGTGAAAGAAACCCTGACCACTCTGTACTCCATGAAAGACACAAAACACGCCGAGGTAAATCCAGTCTTCCCCGTCCTAAGTACACTTCTATCCATTTAGCTCATTATTTCTAAAGTCGACGAATTGTACGAGAATTGTTCCGCCATTCTAAAGGACTCTTCGTCTGTTGGAGATTCTCCTGAAATTGAGAAAACGGTTGGAACTAATGGAACACCACTGTCGGATGCACAGGATCACCTGGTTACCCGAACACAGTCAAATGTGACCAAGACCTCCGGTACGTTTGATGATACATAGGAAGAAACTCAAGACAGGTGGTCACTTTATGGGATGAATTTGAAATCTGTCAGTTTTCTGTTGTTGTTTTTTCTGCTGCTTTTTTAGTTCCAGTTCTGTTAATTGGATGTAATTGCTCAAAACCCAAATTAGTAACTTTCACATTTGCTACTCGCAGACAGGTTTACCAGTTTCGGATGTAAGCGCCGGTTGATCAGTGCACCTTCAGGATGTCCTGTCATACATATGATTGTCCGAAGGGAACTAAACTATAAGAAGCTCGACAGAAGACTGCCCATGACCACTTGTGATCGGGTCGGTGTAGACTACGTTTAGGCTACAAACTAGTACCTGTCGAATATCATAAGGTTGGATGGTGTATGTCTGATTCTACCGGTACGCCACCTGAGTCCAATTCTGATTGCATAAACAGAAACAATGACCACGTTTTCCGCAACCTACTCACTGACTGTTTTTTTTGCTAAGTAGCCTTACCAACAGACTTGAACTTGTGGACGTACTTTCCTTTATCCACTATAGTGTCACTGTAAATGATTTAAACCAGATTGTCAGTTGGTCATGAAGAGACCTAACCTCATTGTGGTGCAGCGGTTTCTTTGTCTACACTGGAGGGTGCTAACACTGCACCGACAGAGTTTCTCCTTCCAGTTTCATCAACGGACACAATTCTAAAAGACACGATCTCCCGGTAATCGGGATATAACTCCTGTTGAAACGAGATCACATCTCTCCACAGTGCCAGAAGTTTTGCCTGTAGAATGGCGCTAACAGGTGTGCTCAAGCGCTGTGTATCAGACAGAACAGTGACACTGCTTCAGTCCAGAAGAAATGCTCCTGCTGGTTTCGAATATAATCTGGCCAAACGAATTATCAGACGTCAAGGGCAAGTGAGCGTGCGTGCCGACTGTGAATTCTGGTGGACTCGGAAATCTAAGGAAATGCAAGAGGCTCAGAAAGCCGGGAATGCCCTAAGATTATTTCACTTGATCTTTGCGACGTAAACCACGTGTGACTGAAAGTGGCCTGAACATCTTGGATAAAGGACGCTTCGATCGCCGAGCACTTTGAACAACGAATCTGTGTCCACTCGCTACCACACATTCGGACCGCACAGCTGAAATGTAACCGTGGACGGTGAGTCTGGAAATCCCTACCTCCTCAAAGGTTTATGACAGCACATGTTCTCACCGAGCTCCTAGTCCGGGTGCCCTCCTACCTGCATTGTTCAAAAATGGAGGTGAATTTTTCAGTCAGCGCTTGTCTGATCTGCTCACGTGCGTTTGGGAAAAGGAAACTCCCAGACAACTCGGGAGAGTCGCTGATAGTGCCCATTTTTTAAAAAGGGGCTCGCTGTGAATGCAGTAACCACTGGGGAGGGGTGGCTTCACCCCGGTCTTAACGAGACTTTTGGCGTCACTTGTGCTTATTCGCTTTATGGTGGCTCGTGGGACAGTGACTCGAAAGCAGCAAACAGGATTCCGGCCTGGTCTGGGTTGTGTTGACCGAATCTTCACACTCCGCCAGGTGCTAGAACAACGTCGTGCGTACAAATGACCCATAATTTTAGTATTCCGAGATTTCCAAGTTGCATTCTACTCGGTTGATTTGTCCATCATCCTTGACACATTGGCTCAACAAAGATTCCCCGGGAGCTCGTGAAAATAATAAATTATTTGTATTCTCATACCTCCGGCTGCGTAGCATATACGAAGAGCTCTTCAGAAGCTTCCGTACGCAAAGCGGTGCCCGTCTCCATTCCTATTTACTTTCGTGATCGACGAGATACTGAGACGAACGCTAGAAAGTCTTTATCCAAAAACACCTACATCTTCTCCCCTCCGAATACGAGAACAATGTCGTCGGCATATTCCAGATTGACAAGGTTTTCGTCGAAGGCTATTTGACAAGCGCGCTGTCATTTCCTGACTGGACCGCCTACCCAAATTCCATCCATCGTTGTATCATGGGCTAGTATAAGTGGCGGTCCAAAAAAGGTACTTCGTTAATCCCGTTTATGCGTCTTACCATGATAAACTAGCATGATAGCGCGAACGTGGCCCACCTAAGAATGGTCTCCTCACCCGTGTGGTGCCAAGATGGCCCAAGTGGTTAGAGCACGGATTTACTGACCGGAAGGTCCTTGGTTCGAACCCTATCTAGGCTTGGGCGATCTGGCAGTATTCCAGCCCTCGTGCAACCTTCGGGTGGTATGGTAGTTAGGCTCCGAAAGGGTGCTACAGCCGTGTAGTGCTGCATTACTTTACTGTCATTTTTCATCTGAGTTGAAAGACAATGTACGACCTGTGCTTTTTCCCCTGGCGAAAATGCATGAGATCCGTTTGTGTTGCGTTCACTTCCCATGATAAAAGTTTTGGAGCATCACGAGCGATGTCTCAAAAAACGAACGCTTTCTAATCGATGGATTTACAAAGTATTGACTCGAAGAATCATAGGACAGATTTGATGATAACCGCACAGATCTGAAGCCCTAAAATTTGTCGGTCCCCTTGGAATGGGAGGATGGGCTATCGATTTTCTCGGTCGTTTCTCTGGTTGCTTCTCTTTGAGGCTGCTCATTATTCTCGGATTTGATTACTGATTCTAGAACCACGGAATACAAGCTTTCCTATTTTCAAGGTCTTTTAGTTATGTTGAACTATTGTATTGATATCAGCCTAATTGAGCTGTGACCCCGGTCGTATCCCATCCAACTGTTTGCTTTCCAACTTTCTGACAGTCGGTCTTCTCGCTTCCAGTTCTCCCTCAAATTATGTTCACAGAGAACGTGATGAATAGACATGGGAACTGCATACAGCTGGTCTAAGAGATAGTAAATAGTAAGACGTTTGTCGTATCATTATTTTGACTAGCTATTATCGTGCAAAGGCCGATCGCGTATGTTATTATGGAGGGGACACTTTTTCACCCATGCCACGTAATCCTTATCCACAGATCTTAATTTGCCCCATTCGGGAACTCATGGCCTTCTATTCTGCGAATTTCTTCGGGAAGTTTTGCATCTGATCAGTGATACCGAGCAGCTTGCCAGGAGCAACTTTTGGTTACTCAGACCAAACTGCACTACACTATATACTGTATTATTACACAAGCCTGTGAACTACTGGTTTTGTAGTCGATAGTGGTAATGCTTACCCGTATTGGTTGTTTAATGCTTGTCCTGTTCACCACGCAGATCGCCGTGGATCGGAGATTCGTGCACGCCGTCTTGCATGCAAAGAAAGAATGGACTCTATCAAGGCGAGTATCGAGCAAAAGCATGCTCTTCTGGAGAGTCTGGAACGCGCAGCGAACCAGGGCGAAGAGTCTTACGCTTCACTGATCGAACAGTACGAGGCCCAAGTGCGTGACCTTGAATCTCGCATCACTACCTTGGAACAAGAAAGAAAGAAGCTCCTGAGTGAACGTATGTAAGTACATCCTTTTTTGGCCCGCTCATCGTGGTTGGGTTTATTCAAAGGCATGCGTATTCATTCGCGAAGCTTCGCCATTCTTTTGTGTCAGACAGAGTCTACCGTTTGCTGGTGCCACTGACTGTCTAAGGATAGTGAGGATGCTCCCCCTGTTTCTGGTGGTTGAAAGACGAAGGTTTTCTCAACTGCGGTCTCGTTGTCATGTGATGGAGGCACAAAAGTCAGATTCCAGCCTTCCCTTCTTGTTGTTCCCAAGCTTTTCCGAAAAAGGATATCTTTCAGGTGGACAGCGTGTTTTGAGAAAGTGCACCTTGCCTAATATTCTACCTGAGCTTTGCGCCGATCACTGAGATCTCATAATCCGATTACATTTGTAAATTTATTCAAGCAGTGGATCCAGTATTCTGTTTTATTGTTCAGCCTGGGTATTATGCGGGGAAGTGAATTTCGACGTGTTGGGTCACTTCGTTGACTTTTAATGGGTCGCGGTGAAGAAACTTCAAACTTTCCGGTGGATCTGCAAGCTCATTTCTATGCACATAAATATGAGACTCCTCCTTAATGGGTTAGTGAGCTTTTGTGACCTATAGCTGCGGAAGATATGAAGAACCGGACGATTAGCGACTTTTATTCAGTATCTCTACGAACGATATGCCCACAGAACAAAGCCTAACTGAACTCCGTTATACTTGATGCGCAAGGCATCCCTGAGGTGAGTTGGCTCATTGGTTTGAAAACGAATTCACTGACCGGAAGGTCCATGGTTCGTATCTGACCACTGTATCTCGACTTCCCCTATCTAGGCTTGGGCAACCTGGCATGGTAGCTAAGCACCGAAAGGGTGCTACAGCTGAACGTTCTTTATCATCCCTAATCCCTTGAATGGATAAGGAGAACATTGCATCGAGACTGCCCAAAGGTTTCGTGACTATTTCTCGGTCACGTGTTTTTTTTTCGGATAAACAAGTGACCTGATAGAAAAGAAAAGTGAGACTTTGTTCAAGTTCCGGTCAAATTGAATATCACCGGGAGAACAGCCGCTCAGAACTGATCTTCGACAAGATGAACTAACGAATCTCGCTGAATGCGTGGCCCAGACTGATACCTGTTTTAGTGGTACTGTTTTGGTACCGCCCTTGGTCAGGTGCATGCAGCTTGACTACATCCAGTCACGCTGTGCATCTCGCCGGCACATACCGGTTGGGTGATATCTCGATTACCTGAACTTTGGTTCATAGTGTGAATATTGATATAATAGGGTTGGAAATCGGTGATCGGTCGATACGCTCAAACGTACTGACGTTTCGATGGTACACCATAGAACGATTTATCCATCTGTCAATCCAAGCAATGGAACGTCGAATTAGCTCATCTAAATGCGTCTGACTACAAGCTATCGGCGAACCAGTGCACCTACACAGATACGCCTGAATTACTGATCCTTATGGTTGTCCGTAGTGCAACTGAACAGTGACTTCCTCTGTGTGAGGAGCGCCATGTCGCACCGGATGTGTCAGTGGTCTCCAAGAAGCCTAATGTTGGAGTCTGTCATAATAGTCCACTTTATCGCAATTAAATTCGTCAAGCTGTAACATTCTTCCGGCGCCTAGCTACCATGCCACGCGAAAAATAGCACGAGGGATGGGATACTGCCAGGTCGCCCAAGTCTAGACAGTGGAAGTCGAGAGGCAGAGGTCGGGTTCGAACCACGGACCTTCCGGTCAGTGAATTCGCGCTCTAACCACTTGGGCCATCTCGCCCCTATGCAGGGAGATGCAGAGATGGGGTTCGGGCCACAGACCTTGTCGATATGTTGGTGCTTGGACATTTAAGCTCAGCTACCTGTCGCCCACATCACAAGGTACCATGGATGCTATAGGTTCCTGCCTTTCTTTCTAGGAAAACGGGTGATGAATCCAAGGAACAGCGACTGAAGGCGATGGAGCGGGAACTTTGCCAAGTTCGTCATCAGCTTGCTGATCTATCACGACTGCGCAAAGCGAAGGAAGCCAGAGAGTCAGAGTGCTTACGCTTGAGGAACGATATCCAGACACTTAAGGTCTCTATGGTACGCACTGCAAAACAGTTGAAAGATGAAAGTGCTGCCTACCGGAAGTGGAGAATAGAGAAAGAGAGTGAAGTAAGCCCCCGTGTTTTCTTTTCAATGCCTGATCGATGTGATTTAGACGTTTTCGGTCCTAGACTCGTAATTTGTCACTTTGTTTGCCCCACAATAGGGTGAATTGTCTGCGTTTATGTGAATAACCAGGAGAATTTTGGGGTAACCACATCAAGTCAGTTCGCAATGCCGTATGATGAACCTTTCGACTCAAAACATCAAGCAGCATGTATGATTCGAGTTGGTTAGCTTCATTCTAGCCTCTAAGGTTGATCCACGACGCAGTGGTTCGCGAATTAAGTGATATGTTAGGAATAGGATAAGAGACTTTTTTGGGCTTCGTGGTTATGAACGAGTAGATTGCTTCTGTCACACACTCTTCTCCAGTTCTGTTCCATCTGAATGCATCTTCTGTTCTTTTTTTGCCCACCTAGGTTCGACGGCTTCAGGAACATGATCGCCGCCTCCGGTCCGAAATGTCTCAAATGGCCTCGACTTACGAACGTCAACATGCCGTGCTGAAACGTCGCGTGGAAGCTGCAGCTGCCACAGAACGGCGATTGAAGGAAGTCCTCATGCTACAACGAGATCGTCGGGAGAAACGAATGACGGAGAATACGACCTTGATGAGGTACATATTGTTTTCTGTCCATATATATATNAGTACCCGGTCCCAAATACAGGGTTTGGTAGCGCACTCACATTAGTTGTGCTGAGGATTTCCCACAACTTTCTCATGATCTTTTCACGGTCAACCGCATTGAGTAAATGAACTTATTAGTGTTTTGTTAATAACAGAAACCACTTGGTAAATCAGAAGGCGAGAAAGAGACACTAATAAGACGTGTTTTGAGGGCGTGAGGTTACAACAACTAGGTACACCTTAATCAAGTCCAATACAATACCAAAATAGACAGGTTCAAACGAAGGACTTATCATTCTGAGTGTGAGTCGTAATAGTTCCACCGAGTTCGTTTGGGTAGCCGCGTTTTTTTGACAGATTCCCTGCTACACGATCCTGGTTGTCCGCAGTTTTTGGTGGTTGAGCCGGTCTGTGTTCCGACGCGCGAGTGATGCGCGTGTGTGTGTGTGTGCTTGCTTGTGCTCTGTCCTTATATATAGGTCGTTGCAATGAGTGGGACGTGAAAACAATGTGAAATCATCTGGTGTCGTTCTAAAGGTCATGGAACGGGAGTTGGCATATTGTCGTATTCATGTCACGATTTTGACGCGTGATTGTGAGACAGACAAAATGGAATGGGGGTAGCAGGTGCCGGTGTGAGATTGATTAGAGGAATAATTAAGCAGAAGGGTAAGCGTTACAAACTTCACGCAGCATCACTGTGAGCTAGTATTCTTACTTAATGCTAGCACGTTTTTTCGAAACTCTTGTATCCTCTTGGTGTGCCTTGCTCGGTTTTCTAGTCAATGATAATGTGTTGAACTTAGTGGGCTTTGTTCCTCTGCGATCCGTCCTCGATGACAACATTGCGCCCGAACAGCTCAATGGGCTGAGTCGCAGGGTTGAAGATTGGCTATCCAGGTCCGCTGGCTTCCTTAGACTGCGCTATGAATCCCCGTTGCGAAAATTCTTATTACTGCCTCCACATCGTTATTAAGAATTTTCAACCTTTTCTCAATGTACAGCAAGCAAGATCTGGCCGCGCGCGTGCGTTCATGGGTGAACGCGGACCTCGATGTGCAGGTTAGCATGGGCGAAGCGCGATATCATCTTGGTCAGCTGATTGAATCACGTCGAACTTTATGTGAGCAACTTCGTTCAGAAGAGACAATGTTGATGGTCGCTTCGGATACGCAGGAACCATCACGAGAGAAACGCGCCAACAACGTATCACGACTTACTGAGGCGATCGAATTACAGACCCAACAGATTACGGATCTGCAACAGAAGCTGATGGATGCCGGCGAGCGTGTTTCTAATGAACCGTCATCTTCCAATGGCGCTGCATCTGTCGACCAAATGCTGAGTGCCCGCTTGGCTCAGCTACACAATATTCAGGAAGCACGCATTGCCATACGCTATTTGTTCAAAGAGGTGAGCAGTTTTGACCGCCTGCTAGGAACTTGTCAAGTTGTAGCTTCTCTCTTCATCAGTCATCATCTCATTTTCCTTTTGTCCATCTCAAAGGCCGCGTCGTGTCAGGTCGACAAGCTTGTGTCAGACAGTCGTCTGTCAGATTTGGTTCTACAGATGACTTCCAAAGAGGAAGAAGCCGATCAGTTACGCACTCGAGCGGCTGAGTACTCAATGAATCTGGCTTCAGTCGAGGAGCAGGTGAGTGTCTATTTCATTCTTGTTGGGACCAGGTGCTTCGTGACGACAACACCTGTCATACTGTCATACAATGCAACTTGTGCTGTGTTATTGTGGCTCGTAAACTAACTTTGTCAAGATGTATTCGTATTACTATATGGGTATGGACTTATTTCTTATCAGCTCGCTTGAAGAGCCAGATAGTATACACAATTAAGTAGCTGTGATTTTTCCACGCCCCAGTTCTTTGCCTGCTGGGGACACTGCCACTTCATTTCCCATCATGGCATTTGCCGCGTTTCAATTTTTTTAATGTTGCTACCAATGCNAGACAGTCAGTCGTCTGTCAGATTTGGTTCTACAGATGACTTCCAAAGAGGAAGAAACCGATCAGTTACGCACTCGAGCGGCTGAGTACTCAATGAATCTGGCTTCAGTCGAGGAACAGGTGAGTGTCTTTTTCATTCTTGTTGGAACCAGGCGCTTCGTGACGAGCACACCTGTCATACTGTCATACAATGCAACTTGTGCTGTGTTATTGTGGCTCGTAAACTAACTTTGTCAAGATGTATTCGTATCACTATATGGGTATGGACTTATTTCTTATCAGCTCGCTTGAAGAGCCAGATAGTATACACAATTAAGTAGCTGCGATTTTTCCACGCCCCAGTTCTTTGCCTGCTGGGGACACTGCCACTTCATTTCCCATCATGGCATTTGCCGCGTTTCAATTTTTTTAATGTTACTACCAATGCTTCACTCATCATCATCAGAGATACTGATACTTCAGTGCCATGAAACCACAAAGTTTATCTAATCATATTTAAACCTTTGGACTGAAACAAAGAGAAAGAAGTGGATGAGGGAGGGACTTGGTACCAGCCTATCGCAAGTATCCTGAGATGCCTATATATTCACTCAATCAGGCAATCTGGAAACAAAGCGGCAACACGAACGATCGGGGCTAGATGGCTCAGCGCGAATTTGCTGACCGGAAAGTCCATGGTTCGAACACGACCTCTGCCTCTCGACTTCCTCTGTCTAGGCTTGGGCAACCTGGCAGTATTCCAGTCCTCATGCTTCCTTCTGGTGGAATGGCACCGAAAGGGTGCTACAGCTGGACAATTAAAATTATTACTTATTACACAGACACGACTGGCTTATGAGCTCATTGGACAGATGGACGAATGCGACTATTGCATGACAACGGTCATGGTTGTGTGGTACTGCCTAGCTATTTCACCTGTTTATCGCCTAGAACCACACACGTCGCTTTAGATAAGTCTTGGAAACCATCGTTGTGTTTCTGCACTGCGGTCGAAGGTACTGAAAATCAAGAGTATGGTACGGTACTTTACTCAAGTTATCCGAAGGACCACTCCACTCAATTTCGTGAACTTGACACCCTTGGTCTTTGGGACATACGTCAGCGTCTGTATATCACAGGAAATGGTCATTGCATTGATGCGGGAGAGCTCACCAAACATCCTCGTATCAGTTGCCAGCCAACTATGTACAGTGGAGCCCCGGCACGGACGTTGTATTCGACAAGCCTGGATCAGAAACTGGCTGTTCAAGATGTCCCGAATACGTCCATCCGCTGCAAGCCATTATTAAATAAAAGTTTAACTTCGCCTGGTAGTTTTGTTATAAACGCTTCTACACATCGAGAGAATATCAACACACAGATAAATAACAACGCTTCTCTCCCATATCAAATAAATTTTCTAGTTAAAGAGTTCTATCGACCAATCTCTATGATGTTAGCTTTTAGTGACAACAAACGCTAGCTCTAGTTCTTTTTTTCCTGCCCAATGCAGTGTAAAGCTCTCCGCGGCCGCATACTTGCTTTGGAATCCGATAACGCTGCCTTGCGCAGCCAGTTGGACGAGCTTAAACAAGCTGTCGAATCGAAACCGACCAGAAGCCAAGTTCAATCGGTAAGATCAACTTTCACTAACATTTTGAACAGTAACACCCCTCTGAACGCATGCAATAGTATAATTGTGTCGTGAATTATCTATAGGCGGTTCACGATGAACTTTTCGCATGTCAGTCGTGTGATTCTTTTACGTATCTCCCTCTGAGAACTATTCTTATGAATCTGGTTACCACATGTGCCGCGTCGTCCATTGTGACCATATGTCCACTCTACACTGGAATTAGAGATCTGTCGACTACCGTATCATCCCAGCTCTCACATGAAGCCATCAAAGTAACTTGGCAAAACCACCGTACTATGTGAACAAATGCCTTGCCTTTCGGAGTTCACAGTTCCATATTCGCCCGTTGAGTGTGCTTTTTCACGGCCTTGAGGAGTTTGAATTCAGCTCAGTTTTTAGTCTAGTTCCACTCTCTATAGTGCTAAGATCGTCTTGTTTATTTCACCTATTTGGAGACGTGAATTATTGGACTGAAAAGTGCAACTCTTCTTTTTCGTAGTACATTATCGATTCTGCCGGTGAAGTGCGACGCCTCTCTGGTACACCCGTGTTCTCCCAAAAGCGTCGCATAACTCGAAGATCTGTACAAGCTATGCGGAAGAAATCTCGGGCGGCTTCGCCACGCTTACTCGTACCAGATTCTACTAAAAAAACGGAGTCCGTGTGGAGTGTGTTTGATGAGGATGAGGAACCGCCGTCTGATTCAAGTGTGGTTGATCCAACATGGCGTCTGTCTGATGTAAGTGAAGAAGAAACGCCGGTTGTTCCTCACGTCTCCCGACGGACTCTTTTGAATGAGGTCAGTTTTTCATACAGTCCAACTTCCCTCCCTTTGACTTTATTGTACATTTTGGAAATGTTATCTCAGTTTGTTTAAAATTTCTGTTACTCTGGTGATGACATCGCGCCCTCTCTGGAAGTCAGAACGTCCTCTTAGTGGCGCTGCCCTACGGAACGCGTTTGTGGGGCGACAGCATCAGTACTGCATTTTGGTTATATCATTGGATTAGTTTGGAAGTTTTTTTCATCCACCGACCATAAACGGAAAGTAGGGCGAACTGCGCATCCATTAAACAGTTTAAGCGGAGAGCCGCAAGGTTACGAGTCAGAAAGTGCACACTTGTGTCCCAGATGTGTACAAAGATTAAAGTACTATTTCGTTGATCTTCCCCTTGACTAAGGAGGACTATTGATTTCTTTCCCATATCTCGTTATCTTCGGACCTTGGTACGGCTTTTGTCCACAGCTGAGAATGTCCGCACATAAACATGAGTCCAAAAGATGCTGGGGGATTATACCCTAAATCCCCCCGTGATACCTGCGCGTACTGCTGTCCCACAGACGGAGAATGTCGGAGCAAATGCGCCTACATTACAGTCTGACGTTCTGATGATCCGGAGATAGTTCGCGGGAAAAACCGGTTTGCGGTGGACAAACGACGAGTAGTGTACACCCCCACACTGCAATATAGATTGCTACGTGGTTGGGAATTCCGCTCACATCAATTTGGCCAGTCACAATAAACAGCTGACAAGAGGGATGCCGACCGACTTCGTCGGTACCCTCTATCCACGAATCCGCGAAGATGTTTTGTCTGTTGTGTCCTTTTTTATACTAGCTGCTAGAAAAACAGGTTGTTCGAGTGGCAAATATCATTTCCTATTCTTTTTTCGACTCTCCCAATTCAGACTAAAATTGGCAGCCGCGTCTCCCAGCTACTCCCTCGGTGCACGTGTCGGGGTTCTTGCACTAATCGATGTAGTTGTCATCGTGCGGGACGCGTGTGTTCCGTGGTTGCTTGCAAATGCAAGCCGGATAAATGTAAGAATCGTGACTCGTTTAGTGGTTCACCTTCAACTCGACCGAAGCAGGCCAAGCTCGAACCGATCACTGAACGTATGCCTCCTCCCACTACTCCACCCATGCCTTCTAAACGAAATCGAAAGCGAAGTCAGCGGCCTCCTCTGAATGAACTCAAGTCCAACCATATCCCTGATGAAAACGACGAGCCTGACATATTGAATAAAACGTTCGATCTCGGTCGTGAAGAGAACCACGTATCTCCCTTAAAAACCTCATCTGTAGTTCTCACTGATATCAACTCCAAGTACTTGTGGCCTAAGACTCGTTTATCGTACTTCCCCAGTCCATCTTTACGCCCCGATGTGTAATTTCCCCTGGTTTTCTCTATCGTTCTCAACTATGTATTCTCCTTGTCTCCCGCCTGCTCAAAGTTCCGGTGTGAACTCTTTCGACTGGTGGCTGCGCACCCGGGTTCGTGGTCATTAACAGTTTCCCGGTTGGGGCCAGTGTTTAATTGCTTCTCTCTGTGGATAAACGCTTATGTACATATTTAACTGTCGTTCTTGCGCTGACCAATCGTCTGAACAAATGCAAATCCTAGTCACTCTCTAAACGGTTTTGAAATGCATTTCGAAAGTCCTCGTGATTCAGCAGAGTTCCGTATTCACCGGTGTTTCCCAGAGTTTTTTGGGCTTTCCTCTTGTTCCGTGTGGTGATGATTCGTGACACATCGCACCATGATAATTCTTGAAATCATCTAACGATTTTTGTTAGTATAAATTCATCTTTTGTCATGGCTCCCTAGCTATAACCTGAAAAATGGTTGCTGAGACTATTCATGATCATTTTCAGTCCAACTCCTTAGAGTACCCTAGACGGCAAATCGATGTCAAATAGGCTTCAAATATAACAGTGTCGTGGAAACTGGGTGACTGAGGATAACAATCCTGGCCGCTTCGTACTTTTGAAAAATTGAATGAAACGGATCTAGCTGACAGCTTCAGCCGAGTGCTTTGTTTCCGCTAGACTTTTGACGATCTAATCTACCGCCTGAAGTGGTCGGCATACTTCAGCTGCTAACAGAGCGTATATTCTAATACGTTTATTTTGAGAGCGTTTATTTGAGACCCACTGACGAGTGCTCAAAACATATCAATAGATCTTGGAAAGTAGCCACTGCAGAAGCCAAGATTCGAATCCACAATTACGCCACTGATTGGAAGAAATGATGTCGCGTGACAAAACAGTTCCTCGTCTGGATGTTTCTTCAGGTGCGGTGCTTTGGAAGATGAGGGAGCCATCTTATGCTTCCTGGTAAAATTCAAGCAGAGTGGGTGATATTCAGTTTGGCCGATCGATGCGTGAAGTTGCAACTTTCATCTTAACGTTTGTGAGAGCACAGAGCGGCAACAGCCTGATCAACTACCAATAAGGCTAGTCACTTGCTAAATCTATGGAGTGGGGTAGGGGGCGACAGGGTAGGTTTTCAGTTTATCGGTTGTAAATCGTGTACAATAAGCACATGGATTCCAGCTGCTACACTTTTAATCACCGGAATACGGGAGTGTGGGACACACATACATACGATTTGGAGGCGAAGGAATGCTCAGTTTGTTCGGAGATCGGGTAGCTACGCATTGAAAGCGACAGCTTTGATGCACGAGCGCCACTGACTGCGCGATTAGGCCATTTCTGCTAATGTCACTACCGAATGACTTGCTGAGTTGTAATTAACTCCATATATTCCGGTCGAAATCGAATTGTATACTGATTTCTGAGGGGCGAGATGCTCAGTGGTTAGAGCGCGAATTTACTGACCGAAAGGTCCATGGTTCGAACCCGACTTCTGCCCCTCGACTTCCCATGTCTAGGCTTGGGCTGCCTGGCAATATCCCAGCCCTCGTTTTTCTTTCTGGCGGCATGGCAGGCGCCGGAAGGCTTGGAGCTTCTTCGTGTAATCTGTGTTCCATTACAGCAGCTTCACTAAAATACACGGGAATTCATTATGATGTAGTTCGTTCTGTTGCTCATACAAGCAGATGAAGAACCAATTTTCTATTAATAAGAATAATAAACAGTCTCAGATCACGAAGTAAAAGGGTAACAGATTTGGGGGACTGGTAAACAGAATACAGCAGTTTCTACCAACCACTCGTCCATGTGAAGTTAACAGGTCTTTGGGATCACGGGGATCTCACAATCTGAGCTGTTAGGAGGAGCTCTGTGCGCTAGTAGATATTAGCTCAGTAGAAAGTGCGTTCCAAATGTTACTTTCAAATATTGTCCACTATACCATTTTCCCTCGCCATTTTTCACGTTCCAGTTGTCTCTTCTCTTCTTCTTCGCTATCTTCTATTTCTATTGCTGCCAGCTGGAAAAAGTACATGACAAAGACCTTCATCCCGTTCATGAAATTCTGGATCGATAGTCGTTCGTTGTTCTCGTGCTGGAAGTCCAGACTCTGGCCCATAGGGATAAGAACCACGTCTTTTTTCGTTGATTCCTTAAAAGAAGAATGGGTATTCCAGTAATCGTGAAAAGCCGCCGTAATTACGGAGCGCAGGACACCGTGAAGAACAATGTAGGCTAACAATACACTATTTTTTGTGATGCGAGACTTGGGACCTGTAAGTGAAGCCAGTTTATGCTGAAAAACCGCT